TACGTACGTAGTACGTAGTAGTAGTAGTACGTACGTACGTAGGTAGGTAGGTAGGTAGTGTAGTAGTACGTAGTAGTAGTATAGTATAGTAGTAGTAGTAGTAGTGTGTGTGTGTGTGTGTGTGTGTGTGTGTGTGTGTGTGTGTGTGTGTGTGTGTGTGTGTGTGTGTGTGTCTGCATGAGCCACAGCACTGTGTGCATGTAGCCTTTGATCAGCAGGAAGAATGTTTAGTCGTTTGTGTGCTACTGGCGGTCATTTTAATTATTGATTAATCAAATGATTGTCTTGTTTCTCAAGGTCTTTCAGTGTATTGTGTTGTCAGTATAACCCCAAAGACGTTGATATGATGAGAAAAGCAGCAGATCTCCATATTGGATGGACTGAAGCAGAATTTTCTGACATTTTTCAAGAGTTAAGAACGGATTAATAATCAAAAATAATTGATTCTATTTCTATCAGTGGTCTCAGAGTGGAGATCTTAGTGTCAGTGGACTCACTATTGCTTTTTGCTTCTGCCTCTCTCTCTGTTCGGCCCTTTCAAACTCCCGCTTCTCGTAGTCCCGGCGGTACTCCTCCCTCTTCAGCCGCTCGTGCTGGTACTCCTCGTAGCTGTCATACCTGGGGGAGGAAAAAGCAGGCGTATCACATCACTCGTCCTCTGGATTCACCCCTTCCTGTTTGACGACTGCGAAGAACAATTGCCAGTATTCACAGAGGAGCAGTCTTTCTATTTCCTCCCCACTGATGGTGGAGAGTTTCAAAGAAAAAGGAAATGGATATAAGACGTCCCTATCGTCATCGCTATGATTGCGGCGCCCGCAGGAGAAGGCCTGCGGGAGGGCGGCGCTGAGGGGGGGAGGGGGTTGTGCAGGCAGCTGCAACTGTCAGCACAACTTCACATGTCATTACTTTCTGCTTAGTTAGGGCTTCATCAAGAAGGAGAGTACAACTTTTCTCCTTCTCCCCCACACCAGACTTGCACAAGACGTGTCCGTTTTTAAATGATGAGAGACTCTTTGGCTTGTCGGGTGCCATTAGGCCCGCGGGTGCCAAATCAGCTCGGAGCGCTGGGATGATGTCAGTCTCTCTCTCTGCATAAGAGAGGCTCCTCTGCAGACTACAGAGGAGTTGAATAGGCGTCATTATACAGCTGGGAGCTCACAAGTGAAGTATGAATGTGGGATATTTTGTCACTAAACCAATACAATTATCAATTAAACATATTTGCCCTGAATTTCTGTTGCAGGCCCCTGTGGAAGCGAGGCTTTGAAAAGGCTGTAGTCTGATGTGAAAAGGGAAATCAAACTATTTCTGACAGTAGAGAGCATGCATGTGTCTTTTATAATTTATTGTGAACTATACTGATATCTTAGTAAGAAAGAGCATTTTAGCACCAATTTCAATATTTGCTCTTTTTCACTGCATGCACAGCCCAGAATTACGAAGAGACCATCTTTCTGGTGTTGAAATCCTTCGTTCAATAATTCATTTTAAAGGCTCACCTTGGCCTGCGGCTGAGAGGGGAGCGAGCCTGAGGGAGGGGGCTCTTCTGAGTCCTGGAACGAAAGGTGCTTGCATCTGTGTTGTGACGAGACCTGTGGGAAAACACAAAATGTTAAATACGATGATATTATTTTCTGCAAAACCTAGGAATGCGTGTTCATTTAAAACATTTGAAAAAAACTACTCTGAATGAATCACTGTGCATATTGAGTGACATCTTGGAGAATTTGTTTTTGGCTTTGGGAACTAAATTAACCTCTTTGATATTCACAGAGCCATTTGGATGTTAGAAACTGGGTTAATTCCAGATAAAAAGCGTTCTGTAGTTTCCTAATATCGCTCCTGGCCACATTAAGTGTGCATGAGTTACTTCTGCTGAACTTTTGTACACACCTGAGCTAGCACATACGTGCAGCTGCTATCTATGTTGTATGAGGAAATGGTCAATAGCATCAGCCCCAGTGACCTGAATGTGGAGCTTTAAGCTTCTGATGCTTAATTATTGAAGTGTTGCTGAAGGAGGAAGAGCCGACTGATGGGGGGGAGAGGAGTTTGGGAAGCTCAAGCATCGTAGGCAGTGGAACTTAAAACAGAGAGGAGGAGAAATGCTTTGCTGAAAATCTGTCCTTGCATGAAATAATAATACGCTTCTTGTTCTGTCGCTTTCTAGACTTCAATACCTACACAGCATTTTCCGAAAGCTTGTCAGATTCTGATGGAGGAGCCTTGAGACTATTACTGTATAATTTGTGAGTTGGTGCAGGGCAAAGTGATTCTACCGGCTCCCTGGAGTAAACTGACCTTTAAGTAATCAGACAAACAAACTGCAGTGGAGTCACTCTGCGAACCTCCACTGACAAACTTCATTTACTCACATCCTCTTCAATAACTTTGCCTCTGTTCCTCCATCAAAAAGACAAACATGACAGAAACCCCCTCAGCTCTGATCAAAAGGAAGCATGGGAAATGTAGTTCTCACACGGCGCTATGATGATAGCAGCGTCTTTAGAGAGGGGTGTTGAGACTACACTCCCACAGCCTGGCTTCAGCTTTCATCTCTGGGGGTTTGAAAGAGGAGGCTTTGCCACTCAGTAAAAACAACAGCTGCCGCTTAAAACAATAGCCCCGGCATCAAACAAGAAGCAGGAGAGTGTGAGGGGAGTGAGTGAGGAGGGGGAGTGTTAGGAAGACACTCAAATAAAAACTCCCTGCCTAGAGATTCAAACTCAGACTTTTCAAAAGTCCAGTGCCTCTGGCATGTTTTCTGCTCTGGGTCTCTTATTTGTTGGCTCATTGATTAGAGAGAAAGCAACAGTCAATACATTGTTTTTCCCCGAACGTCACTTAGGAGACATTTATGTGCCACCTGGTTTAAAAAGGTGGGTTTAACAAATGAAAACAATTAGGTTAAAAGTTAAAACCCATCCCACCTCTAGCCTGGACTCCCATTTAGCCGCTCCCATAACATACTACATTTAAAATGTAGGAAAACATGGTATTCTCACACAGATTGAGCTCCCTTTTTTTGTTTCATAAACATATTTCCAATGAAACCCCATGAAAGTCTGTGTAGGCATGAGTTTGAATGTGTTGAGATGTTGTCCCGTGTGGAATCATTTCATTTCATTTAATCGTTTATTTGAAGAGGGACAATACATATTGATGAACATTTAAAACAAATAATGCTTTAAAACGTAAACATGCCGGATTTTAGCTTTGAGCTAATTTCCATCCGTAGTCCCTCACATACAACATTCAAAAGTCAAATGGTGACTTTTTTGTATTTACATCATTATTTTAAGAAGTCTAACACGCAGTTACTTTAGGCCAAACCCTGATCTGTTTTCCCACTGTAATCTGGGAGAAAATACGCTTTCCTCGAAACACAATAGAGAATCTGCAGGAGACAGGTTTGCTATTTCAACTGTTAAATCTTTTTACTAGCCAAATGTATTCTGCCTTTAGTTCAGGCGAGGTACAGATTAGCAGGAGGTCAGGGGCCCCCGCTGAGAGTCTCCGGGGTCTCTCCTGTCTGACACCAGCTCTGACGACTGATCAGGCCTGTTTTACACTCCGGAGCCAGATCCCCCACCATGGCCTAGCCTGAATAGACTGCTTGGGTGGCTCAGCCAAAGGAAGCAGGAGGTGTGTGTGTGGTGTGTGTGTGGTGTGTGTGTGGTGTGTGGGGGAAAGGGGGTGTGTGTGAGCAACAACATACCAGGAGGAGGGGCGTCTGTCAGGTGAGCTGGAGAGGGAGCGCCTCCTGTAGTGCGAGGAGGAGCTGTGGGAGCGGGAACGGGAACGGGACCCGCTGCTGGTCCAGAAACGCCTGCTGGGCGATTGGAGGAGGGAGGAGGGGGGGGAGACGGAGCCTCGAGAGGGGGAACAACTGGACGGTGGGGAGCAGGAGGGGGAGCAGGGGGGGCAGTCAAAAAGGAGGTCCAGAGGAGTGCCCTCCCACGGGTACAGGAAGCGGCTCTCGCGGGTCTCCCCCAGATCGAGGTCGTCCTGGAAGGGCAGGATCGGGTACCCTGACTCCCCCCCCTTAGGGGTCTGAGGGGCCGCAGCCTTACTTGGTTTGGCTTCTCTCTCCTGGCCCCCCGGGATATGAAAGGCTTTTAAGGGGGGGCCAAAATGCTTGTTGAGTTCTGCTCTGATGTCCTGGTCTCGCAGGAGCTTCCGGCTGATGGCAGAGCAGTGGAGTTGGTCCCAGTCAATGGGGGCCTCCTGTGGGGGGCTCTGGGGGGTCTGTTTGAGGGTCTGCTCCTTAACATTCGCCAGGGAAGCAGATAAAGCTGATGATGGAGGAGGTGAAGATGATGAAGAGGATGGAGGCATGGCTGAGTCCTTACATTCGACACGCCCGTTCTCCACGCTGCCTGCGGGAAGCACGGGAGGCGCAGTGGGGGCACCTAAGGTGACCGCTGATGTAGTCATGGCAACAGCGGCTGTGCCGCCGTCCTTCTTAGCGCTAGCTTGGCAATAGTCATGGTCGCTGTAGCTGCGAGGCGCCGCCCGCTTAATGCTACGACGTTCCTCAGGGCCGCCCCCCAAAGTGTGTTGGGTGACTGAGTAGGGTGGGGCGGTGGACGCTTTGCTCAGCTGGGCATAAAGCTCAGACTGCTCAGGACCCTTCCTGGAGGGGCCCCCGCCTGAGGCACCTGGGGCCGGAGCCAGAGCGCCGGGGCCCAATTCGCTCAGCCTGGCTCTTTTGCACGCCAAGGCCGATGAGGAACATGAAGACAACTTGGTTTTGAGCGATGCTTTGAAAGGATTCTCTTGACTGGCTTTGTGTGGGGGCGTGGTAGGTGGTGTCAGACCTGCAGAGGGGAGGGGGAAACACAGAGGTTGGTTGAGGGTGGGGGAAGTAAAATGCAAATGGGATCATAATGCAAAACCTCCACAAATATCCCCCCTCTCCCCCCCTTCCCCTCACCCATCCATAAACTCACAGGTCGGTTTATGGACAGTGGACACAGAAACATGGCTGATTAAAATATTCACTTTCACTTGGCCTAATCCTGATCTCTATTTTATTGCAATCTTGACAGATTAATGTAATGCTTGGTGTAACTTAATACGGTGGAGCTGTAATACGGATGACTTGCCACCCCCTTCCTCTCTGACCTTGGAAAGATCCTTTTTCATGGAAAAATAAATAAATAACACAAAAGCCCGCAGAGGACAAACGTAATGCACCTGATGGAAATAATTTAAGCACATGTATCATATCTCTACCCGCCGCACATAAATGTCTGCAATGGACGGCATCCAATTCACCTGAATAAAACCAAAGGACCTCTTTGAACTGCCGGAAAAAATTATCACTGACATGATGTCTCGCACGTGTCAAGATTATCCGGAAGCATCTCTGTGTAACAATGTAAGACATGTCTCTGAATGTTAGCATGGCTGCTGATGTCGAGACGGGTTGTCGTTCTTCTCAGATGGCATGCCCCTACTGCCTGTGCCCCCCCCCCATCTTTCCCCAGCATCCTACAGATTTACAGCCAGACAGATGGCAGTTATATGGGAAGTCCTGAGATGAGCCCACTTTATAGCATTGTTAATGCACTCACACAAACAGCCGCCGCCATTACTCTCCCCCTCTTTCCTTCTTCTTCCCTAGTCCTGTGTTCTCCACTTTTTCTGTCTGCCATCATCCCTGGATCAATCTCTATTTCTCTCTCTGCATCCTATCCTGTTTCCGCCTCACACAGACGCAATAAATGTGCCCACACACACAATCTCGTCACTAACAGTCTCTCACTGGAGTCAAGCTCAGGCACTTTGAAACACCTACGCTCTCCCCTCTTCTTTGCCTTTCTTATAATGCACATCACTCTCCCCTTGCTGGAGAATTGCACCAAATGACAGCTATTAGTATCAAATCCAGTGTTAGAGCATGCACGGGGACGACAGCTCGGCAACGAGAGTGGGGGAGCCTGATGCATAAATATGCAAGTTTCTGAAGCCACTTGCTGTGTTTGGAATGCCTGATCCAACAGCTTATCATCCTACTTGTTATCCGGATGTGTCTGTAACGCCCTCGCTCCCCTCTCTCCCCGCTTTCTCGGAGTGATATAGACACACGTATATATGCATTATGTCAATGAGCTTTGAAAAGGATCAGGGAGAGAGGAAGGGGAGGCTACACAATGCCTGAAGAACTTCTGTTTCACCAATGAAGCGCCATCTGTCCAGAATAATGTGCGCGTGGGGTCATAAACTAGAAGCCATTAGCGGCGGGGGTGAAATAAATCAGAATTAGATAAATATGTGCCTCTCAGTCAAACTTGCTGGTGATGGATGAGCCGCAGACACAAACACCAATCATGTCGATAAAAAAATAAAAAAACATGAAGCGAGTCAACGAGACGGAGAGGAAGGAGGAGGGTTTTATATCGTCATTTTTTTTCTCGTCCAGCTGTAAATTGCAAGGAGACCTCGGAGCGAATAACAACTGCTTAAAGAGTTGATCCGGCGGTAAGCCATGCAAATAGCAACACACAGACCACCCAGTGCCATGAGATACAGTAATTAAAGACAACACGGCTGCACAGGGTAAATCTATTAGCTTGGCAGAGATTAGGCCACAACAGTCAGATCCCTGGGGGCCCCGCTGCCTGTTGTAGCCTTCACTGCACTCCTCTAGTGTCAGGAAACAAAGCTATGATCCTGTCCTACCAAAGCCTGGCAGCTGTTTTAGGCAAAGTCCTGAAAAATGTTTTTCTGAATTGAATGAAACAAATTCAGAAATAATTGCAGAAACCTGGCTGGTCGGATTTGGCAGAGATTCAAAATCGAGAAAGGTCCAAAGGTTGGTTTAGTATTAGATTTGGCTCACCCCATATCAAATGTTCCATTTAGTAACAGCTACTACTACAACTCATCATAAAGGCATAAAATAAATATGCTCGTGTCAGCATTTCGTGGAAAGTTCAGTGAGTTGCCAACCTGACTTGAAGGTGGAGGAGGGCACAGTGGCCCAACTCTCATGTGGTTATCAGAAACACCACTATAATCTTTATTGTAGGTATGATACTGTAATTCTGCAAAGAGCATGTAACTCCAGACCTCAGAGCTCACTGGGATCTATATCCATCTGTCTCTGCAGCACCACACTCTAATCCCTGAGCAGGAGAGGGGCTCTGGACTAATAACATCCCCCCGCTAATATTCAATCCGTAATTTGCTTAAAGTCAGGTGAAGGTGCTTTGTTGGCGCGTGCTTGTAAAAGCCAGTGGAACAGAACGGACGCAAAGACTTGGCCACAGGTCAATAAACTCAGCCACGTGCAGTAAAACAGAAAGAAATATTAACCGTGCTTGATTGCACCAGAGCTTAAGGAGCCACACTCTTCCCCTCCTTCAGGTCTCAACAGGCTTGACCTTTGACCCCCAAAGCTTATCTACACAAAAGGGCTAAACGGCACTTGGACCAAGGTCAGAGGGACAGAGGAGAGCTCAGGGGGTCTGATGTGTAACAATGTCCATATCACACAGGAGATAAGTAGAAGGTGCAGGGGGCAACGATGAGGTATGTATGAGGGACGTTTCCCCTGCTGGTAAATGAATACCTAAACACAGTGCGAGAGGCTAAAAGGGCAGCCATTTTGTTTCTATTCACCTTTGATCAGCTATTCTCAAACACTATGCCCAAAAGTTTAGATTCAATAAAAAGTTACATGTTTTGGTCATTTACAATTACAAGAATTCACACAACAAGACATTTTGAAATCAAAATGCTACTGAACATTATAAGCTCGTTAAAGTTTCCTGAGATGCAGTAACAAGGACAAATAAAGACAATCTAAGCATATAAAAGCCCCAAAGCATGTGGTAAGGAAATATGACACTGAATATGTTCCGCATTTGGATTCAAGCGAAGTGTTTTGAATGTGGTGAAATGCTGACATTAGGCGCTAAAATCATCAAATCACCAAAAACACCAACACATATTCGCCAAGGCAAAGAGCACAGCAGAAAATCATTACACCCTCTTATATCTATCATAATTATCTTTTCCCTATGGCTCTGAGATTAATCATAACTAAATGCCTCAAAAGGATGATGTCAATAATGATTTGGAAGAAAACCTTACACTGACCACATTTACAGAAACACTTTGAACGTCCTAACATTGGTAAGTGACTCCCCGGTCAGCTGATCTAATTGCCTGCATGTCTGGGGACCGAAGGGAAGGACGGCGCAGATCATACGGCCAACCTGAATTGCACCGCAAAACCAATTAAAACAATAACAGTGCCATTTCAATTTTTCTATGATGTGTAGGCTAAGTAAGCTGTCAGTCAGAGTGCATTAGGATCTGATAGAGGAAGAGGTAAAGCGTATTAACTCTTGAGTAACAGGCGAAAGGAGGGGAGGGGTTCGCTAATAAACCCTGAGGAGATTGGAAAGCCTAATCAATACTCAGGCACGTGAAACATTTCTGCTGTGCCTTCACCTTGAACTCTGAACTGTGAAGGAACTATCGAGATCAAGTTAATCCATTACTAGCCACAACTGGGAGATGAGAGTTTTTTATTTAATAATAACTACTGTATGTGTGTTTTAAGATGATCAGAAACGTGTGCTTACCTGGGGTTCCAGCAATCTCCACACTTAATGTGCGTTCAATGGTTTTGTTCTCAAACGGTGATCCCTTGTGGTCACTGCAAGACAAAAACAAATGGCAACACATTTTACTTCTCAGGTGAAAAAAAAGACTTTGAAACGTTTTTGTGATTTAAGAAATGGAGATGAGTCACAAATGCCTCAACTTGGATTCTAGTCTGTATAATTTCCTTCCTTTTTTTTCTCTGTGGTTAGTTGTTGTTTAACCCTAGAATAATGTGGAAAAACTTCTCAAACTTACTTTGGAGACTCTGGGGTCAAAGGAAGTGGCAAGGTGGTTGGTTTGGCTGCAGAACACAAAGGAGCATGGGTAATTATTGACCTGGGTATAACACTCAAGGCAGAAGAGAACAGGTCCACATTCTGCAACAATTAATTTTAAAATGTCTTAATAAATGCAATTATTGCTAGAAAAACACCCATACCTGGTTAGAAAGTGTATTTTAAATATTGTATATTTTTATAATTGACCCCGTTTTAACAATAAATTGTCTAAAGATAGACTGTCCACTCTGTGAGGCAGGATGAAGTGATGGTACATTGTTGTATCCCCACTCAGGACAACAAACATATCGAAATGGAATAAAGACATAAAGAGACGATGCCACAAACAAGACACATGACAGTGGGTGAGCCCCTCTCTGGACAAAAAATAATCGCATGCACCAACAGCAGAAGAGGGGAAAAAAGAAGGAAGAAAGGAGAGTCAAGGAAGCTTGTGCAGTTGCCCGAGGCTCTGGCCGACTCGTGCTCCAGCTAAGGGATCGTGGCTTTAGTAGCACAACGCTAAAGAGCAGCACCCGGGCTCTGAGTCTAAATGTACAGCACACTCAGCTCAATCAGCCAAAGAAGGGTTCAAGGGTCCACTTCATGAATACAAGACGTACAGTAGCTAGACATGGCTCGCCCTTTTTCCCCACCCATTCCTTTTTGAAATTTAAATTGTAAATGCCTTCGGGACTAGCAGGAAGCAGTGGCTAGCAGGCTGTTTGTCGTCACTGTTCACGCCCCCAGAATGACTGTTAGATTCGAATTAGAGTAGGGGTTAGTTGTGAAGTCAAACTGGGAAGTGGTTAAAGCAGGAGAGGGAGAAGAGAGAGCAGAGATAAGGCCAGTTGGGGGGATGCAGTCATGATTACCTAACAACGGGAGGCCCTGGTCGTCGGGGTGCTCGCTGAGTGCCTGCCTGTGTGGGGGCACTTGCCCATGTGAGAGGCAGGGGAGGGCTGGCACTGCAATTCTATTATTTGGGATAGTAGCAGTGCTGCCCATGACATCATCATCATCAACATCATCATCATCATCATGGTCAACATCCTCCCCATAGGGCCCCTGGTTTAGCCACCCGAGCTCTAGTCCAAAGTCTAGCCCCGAGTCTGGCTGGTAAACCCAGCTCTCTAAACCTAAGGGCGGGGGTCCAACCTGGGACCCTGAGTCAGGCTCTTCGAGCTGACGTACTTCCCGCTCTCTACTATCAGCGGCTCCTCCCAACTCCTCCTCCTCCTGCACCTTTGAGGGAGCCTGTGCTGGGGTCCTACCTGCTGACCTGCTCTGAATGCTGGGTAAAGGGGTGATCTGAGGTGGGGGTATGTGGACTTTGTACTCAGCAGGCCTGTGTTTGGAGGTGAGCAGCTGGCTAAGCAAAGGGTGCCCCGGCTTCTCATCTCTTTTCTTAATAGTCACTGTGATGTGCCTATGGCCGGCCACGCTACTGTTTCTACGGCCTCTAGCCTGAGTGGCGCCCGCAGCCTCTCGGCAATGCTCACAGCTGTGACTCGCCTCTCGGGGAGGGAGGGAATAAGAATGCATATACCTAATAAACCTAGCCAGGCGGCCAACATCGCCTGGCGGCCTTCCTTCTTCAGCGTGCTCCTGGCAGCAGGCGGAGCTGACAGGGATAGAAGCACCCTCCGACTCCTTAACCCCGTCATCGTGAGAGCAACGCTGCCACTTCCCAGCCCCAACACCAGCCACACTACACCTGCCTGCAGCCCGGCTCTCACCTCGCTGCTGCGGCGGCTGCTGCTGCTGCTGCGGAGACGGTACGCCCGACTTCTTCTTGGAGGTGGTGGAGGAACAGGTGGAAGAGACGGAGGAGAGGGAGGAGAACGAGGAGGTGGATGACGAGGACGGCGAAGAGGAAGAGGAAGAGGCACCGAGACCCAGGCCACCCTTCTCCCTGCTGCCCGCACCGCCCCAGGTGCTCTTGGCGTCGCTGGCTTTGGTGTGGAGCAGGATGTCATCGGTGGCGGTCAGGTACTTCAGCAGCTCCGTGCAGGGCCGCCTCACCGGGCGGTTCTGTTGGCTGGAGCCCCCCCTCGCTTTGCCATTCCAGGGGCTCTCCGTCTGCAGACAGAGATGGACAATTATTTACTTTGCTTAAAGGTCACTTATTGTGCAAAGTCTTTTATACATAAACATGTGTCCCCTTTGTGTAAAGAGGTTCTGAAAGTTTCAGGAAAAAAGATTCTCTCTCTTTTTGTCCTGATCCATTTCTATAAAAACCTGTCTGAAAATGAACTGATCAGATTTTGGCCATTTTATGATGTCATAAAGATTATTTGGCATGAGAAACCATTAGCCAATCACCAACCAAGGTAACCTCCCCCCCCCCCCACCTTATCACCTGAATCTCCTCCTAGATCACCATTGCGTTGTTTTTAATCTCTCAGAGGGGCGTGGGGAGTGGCCCCTTATTTTCATCTAAAGTAACAGACAGAGAATCAGCACTTTGGAAACAGGGCTGAAAGAGAGAGGATTATGGGATGCTGCAATATTCTGTATTCTGTATTTCGAGGCAAACACTTCAGAGACATGTTTGTATATATATCTGAGACCTATTATATATTGTTGAAAGACAGTATTAAGGGGACCTTTAATAAAAAGTTAGTGCGTGCAGCTTGTTTATGTTATTTTTTATTTGGCACAAGAATAAAAGAGACTGAGTCAGAGAGGGGGCCTAAAGCCAGAGCACAGTGGATGCCCGACTGTCTAGGAGAAGATGTCGGGGGTGCTGTCCGCCCATCATCTTAATTGCGTGGCCCTGCGAGCACCACCGCGCCACTCTGTACGCGCACCATGTCCTCCGGGAGTACTCATTCGCTGTGCTCCAGAAATGGATGACTCAAAGGCACGGTATGAAAATAGACTATGTGAGGAAGGTTGACGCACTGCATGTGCAAACATAGTATGCGTAACACACACAAATCTGTGTCTGCCACACAATGTGATCACATACAGATGCTTATATCATTCAGAGGAATTCTAAGCACCAGGGAAAGCATAAAGCAAATAGAGCTTTTCTTCCGAAACGAGCAAATGAAGTATATGACAGTGAACATACAGATTGTCACGTTCTGACATGAAACAGATTCCCATACATTATGTATTCACATGTATTGAACATACACCGACTAAAAGTGATTTTAATCAAATCCACCCCCTTTGGAAAAAAATAACTTTGAGAGCCGTCTAATGAGAACATCAAGTCTAATATTTTGATCTTCTCTTCTCAAGGCATCAATCTCTCCCACAAGAGCGCCTGTCGTTTTTTTTTTTTTTTTCAACAGGCACCATACCAAGGCGGATAAGTGGTGGAGCTAATGAGACAACGGTGCCGATGCCTCGCCTGGAAAGCCCAACAGCAATCAGCCTGTTTTCATTACGGGATGCCCCCCTGGGAAGGAAGACTAGAGCAGTAGTCTAACGTCTTCTAAAGGCGGCCACCAAAACAAGAAAAAGTGGGAGATGGAGCAAGAAACCAGACAGAGCAAGAACAGAGAGAGGGATAAACAAACAAGAAATGGGAGAACAGGAGTGAAAAAGCAGCAAGGCAGTGCGTGTATTTGTGTGTGTGTGCGTGTGTGTGTGTCCCTACCTTGACGACGGCAGGTGGTGGTCTGATCCGGTGGTTGCTGCTGGCTGCATGGTTCTGTGCCTTGCCACCTGTGTATTGATTATAGCTGAGCTGGGAGTTTGCGGGTGCCAGAAGGAGCTTCTTCAGCTGCGAACGGACCCAAACAGAACAAGGGAAAGTGGTGAAGGCGGGGGAATTGAGCGTGGGTTATGCAAATTACCATTTTCTTTCAATTAGACAGCCTGCGCTTTGTAAATGTACAACCAAAAGAGACCAGTACTGCGAGATAAAATCACTGACAAGATAAGATTAGAGATATTTAAGCGGTGTTGTGGCATGTGACTGAGCCTTTGGAGTTTTGTTTTTTTCCCTGTACAGGTGTTTTTGTATACACACAGCCAGGCCTCTCAATGTGATTGAATAAACACACACACGCACGTGGCTAAAGGTCATTTGGAAGGGACCGGCATGGAATATAACTGAACATAACACAAATTGTAAGGTCAAAAGCAGTTTAAACGCCCAGATGGCGTACAAAAGATATCACAAAGGTAAGCCGACTTCTCATGTAGAAGCCCTTTGTAATGCCTGAAGAGACGGCCCAGACGATATGAGATGGATTTATTGCGCCTCTTAGTTTCATTCTGTTTGACTTCAGGTCCTGTGGCACTGTGTCAACCGGAGTTGGCCCCACCACAGTGTTAATATCATTGAAATGGCACCACAAAAGCACTGTTATGTAATTATCACTGAGCGGCAAACACACTGATCCATTTCCTTTCCAACTCAATGCATCTGCATAACATTAATTTGACCGTAATTAGAGTTTTTAGTTGAAATGAATTGTAATATTAAAGTTATGCTGATAAATGTGCTGGTATTTGTATTTCATACACGTGTACTTTGATCTGTTTCATAATTGTTAGTGTGATGGAGACTATGTAATGTTTGAAGTGTTTGTTTTGTGTGTTCCTGCCAAGGGACTGCAAATGGAAATGAGCTAATAGCTAAATGTAGCATTAATCATCTCTGTTTCCTTTTAGATTATTGTATTTTTATGCGTGGCCCTTGTTTAATGGAGATATAAATAATACAAATCTGCGTCTCTGCACACTCTCACTACACATGCAGGGAACATACTGTGGCGAGTGTGGATTGGGCAGAGCCAGAAACAGAAGTCTGACAGACTAACTAACGGTCATTTTTCTGGTGCCCAGGCTTGTTAAAGAGTCTTATCTGGTGTCTGCCATGGACTGGCACAAACAAGCAACAGTTTGGGGGTCATGTCATGTCTTTATGAGTTGACCCGGGAGTGGTGCTGATGGGAGTCTCTGGGGGAGGAGAAGCTGCTGGTCTTACCAGGGAAGGCTCCTCTGGCTCTGGGGTGCGTGGCGAGCCGTCGGGGGAGGAAGGACAGCTCCGGTCACTGGCATTGGTCACGTCCCCATCTGCCAGGGCCTCAAACGAAGGCAATCCGTCCTCATCCACCGGGATGCTGTCCAGGGTCTCTGTAAGCACTGCCAGCAAGTTGGCCTCATTTTCTTCATCTATCTTCTTGAGGCGGAGGGGAAGGGGGTAGACAGAAAAATAGAGAGACAAGAAAAATAGGACATTTTAGTCAGGAGAAGTAGCATCTCTTTTTTTGTTTTTATCTTCTTGCAGGGAACTTAAGGTGGCGGATGCATGCAGGCTCTCATTGTTAATAGAGTGGGAAGATTTTTCTCTCAATTTTTTGCAGCAGCAGAGCAGGCGCTATTTTGGCAGCCTTTTAAAAACAAATTCTCTCCCTGTGCAACTGAGTCAAGCCTGTCACTCATATTTTAAGCATGCAGCTTACTGGACCAAAATAATATCTCCCGCAAGAAACCCATTACCAGGGCTGACAAGTAGCAAGTATCTAGGGAAGACAGGAATGGGTCGGGGTGCGTCGCAGCATGCAGGGGTGTGGGGGTAAAAGAAACAATGAGCGGAAGTCCTCTTCCTCTCTCTCCCCACAGAATCTTGCCGACAAGATGTTTGCGAGCAATCCTCAGATAAGGCGTATTACCACACGCTAATGTTAAATAAATGCGATATATTTAAAATGTTGGCATGACAGCTGATGCTCACAATGGGCGGGGAGTTGCCATCAACATTTCATGAAAAATAAAGCTTGTTCTTGTTCACTCTGCTCCTCTTTGATGTACCAGAGGAGTTGTGTGTTTGCTGCATCTGGCTGTTTATGGTGGAGATTATAACAGTGTGAGAAATGAAGAGACAGAGAGATGAATTTATGGAGATGGAAAGTGAGAGTTAAGGAGATGTGAGCTGCCAACTATTGACATCTGAGGTTTCCTTGGGATAACAACTACGCATGTTTGTAGAGAAATAAACAAGAAATGACAGAAAAGATATTTAAAGTGAGAGGAACGCAGCTTTTTTTAAGTGTGTGTGATTTTGCCTTTGCACAGTGACAAGAGGAACTGTTAGTTCCAGGGCCATAAAAGCCCGGGGGACTTTAAGACAGCGGAAAGATAAACAGCGTCGCCACCTCGGGAGGTTCTGTGGCCAGCCCAACAAGAACAAATCCCTTTATGCACACGGCGGGATTATCATCGCTCTGAGACGGCGTGTGGCCTTCATTATGCCGAAGGGGCCACCAACCCCTCAGATACCAGCACAAAATCCCAGAAGACCCTGAGCCCCACATGCACAACAATAACCCACCCACTTGTTTCTGTCTACCACACTGATTCAACATAATTACACACCCACCACGTATGGCAATTCAGGAGCAGGTCTGGATTTACCAATGAGATAGTGGACATTTAAATGCTCCCCCTCCCCTCTAATTTTCATTTATAGATGACACAGATATGAGACGTTCAGTTAGCTAGCTAACAGTGAGGAAAACGCTAATCTGATGTTCATTGAGTAGATTTTCTCCTAACAACATGAGCACTCAGTCATTATTAAAAAATGATAAAGGGGACATATTTCACAGAGATAACACGACGTTGACTGGGGCCATAGCGCATTGGCAGGCAAATGCCTTGCAGGAAATTGCTCTGTATGAGGTGGCATGCTGTTTAATTACTTGCAAGAAGCTTCAAATCCACTGTGCTGGAACCCTATGCTCCTGAAATGCTTCCCATTTTCAGCATCCAGAGTTATTACCTGAGCACTAAGCGGGTAGGTATTACCGCTGATAAAGCCGCAGCCTTTCCTTAGCCCAAACATATATCCTTGCATGGGAAATTGAAAGCAGGATCATTTCAGATTATCACAAATGAGTCTTTAATGAGGCAGCCATCTGTTTTGGTCCAAATATCCAAGCAATGCTGTTTTAGGGTGGGGCTGTATTCATCTCTTTAGAATCGGACAGAACCTGAACATGGTGCAGAAAGTGCATTCTGTGCCACAGTGAGGCACTAGTTTCATTCAAAGTTGAGAGGGCTGTGCAAGCTTCATTATGTCATGGTTTGGAGAGGATTGGGGCATTTTTCTGAGGCTGTGGCAGGCTTAAATGTAGCGATTTCAATCATGTTTCAAAAACCACCACCAATTGGCAAGCTCCCACAGGCACACTGTATCCCTGGAGATAACCCAGAAGGGACTCTCATATTCTGAAAGAGACACTTGTAAAACCCTGAGTCGTGACGATCACACTGCAGCCGCTGCTGTGGCTCTAGTGGAGGCACTCGTCGGCCAAGTGGGGATTTGAGAAACTGGGGTAAGGAGCACACCTCAGTGATGGCTTCTGCCATGGAGAGAGCATGATCTAATACTCCGGTCCAGGAGGGCGAGCTTTTCCACGCCAGCTTAAGGACCATACCTAGCAGAGTTTCAGTCAATCTACTACCAATGACTCACTTGAACCTTGTATATTTATACACAACATCTCCGTCTGGGTGTATTCAGGAGCGATGGCACCCAAAGGGGGGTGACGGCGGTATAACCTGGCAACCTGCTGACCGCCATGTCCACTTATATTGATTACTACAGCGGCTGCTGAGAGGAAGAGAGGGCAGGAGGAACAAAGAGAGAGGAGAGAAATTGTCTCGGTGGGAGCACTTTCTCGCCCGTCCCACTTAATGGACCTCACCGAATTAAAGAGATCTTAACAATCCTGGGCTAATTGTGGGATCACAATATATTAACCCCGCTTCAATTCTAAAGGGTGCCATTTTGTGGCTGTTTTATTCCAAATGCTTCAATTAGCCATAAAACATGCTGGCAAGTGCTGGCCGAGCTGCTCTCCCCCCTCCTTCACCCCAGCCTCCCGCGTCAGAGAAAAGAAAGCCGACTCCAGTTGTTCATTATTAGGTGAGGCCCTTTTGTTATCAGGCAGGCTGTCTTTGAGGTTGTCCTTGCCTTTAACTCTTTTATTGAGTTCCACAGCACAGCATTGTGTTCCAGGAGATACTATTCACACAGCTGATAACGGCAGGTGAAGGTGCTGTTTTGAACAAACACCTACACTTCTGAACACGGGGGCAAATAGCCAAATTAAATCTGCTAATTGCTCCTTGAGGATTCAAAGCTCCTGAGCAAGTTTGCAAAGGATCACATTTTAACGAGCTTTTCGGGGCAATGCATCATTTACAAGTTAAAAGGAACCAAATGTGTTGTGAAATTGCCAAAATGATAGACCCGATCACTGAATAACACCGAGATGAAGTTTCAACAGACTAAACAGCCCCGCCGTTATCTTCAAATGAGAGGCAGAACATGTGACAGACACTCTGGGAAGATAAAATGTTTCCCATTAAATGGGTCATCTGGTATTTAAAGTACTGTTTATTCTCACTGGCTCCTTTTTGCTCACCCTTCCCTTCTCTCTTTCTGCAGATAGAGAAATAGCATCCAGTTACTTCAGAGAGACAGAAAACATTCTTAATAAATTGGCCCCCAAATTGCGTGGCGGGGTTAAATCTGTGCCTTGACAATTTAATTGCGTTGCTTCATCTCAATCTTTTATTTCTTTCTCCCTCTGCTCTCTGCTTGTCAGATTGCAAAAACATTCCCTTGGATTAGGTTAAGCGACGAGCTAGACCGTCTAATCATGGCACAATCAGAAATTGTGGGGGGTATATGTGCGTTTGGCGAGAAGGGCGGGGGTGGGGGGGCGGGGGGGGGGGATCGAGTCGTCACATCTTGCCAAGAAAAGCAGCCTTGGATTTGATAAACAAATAATGTCATTCTGTGTTATTACCCCCGGCCCCCAGATTTCAGAGGAAATAAATCAACGTCAGCCTTGCCGTTAAGGCGTTAGTGAGGCCCGACACGTCGGCCAGTCACACAGGCACAACATATGGCAGCAGAGGAGGAGGGAGGAAGGGGAGGCAGGGAGGGTGAGGTACAGCACGATGCTCGGCAGAGAGACAAATCATGGCAGCCGCCAGAGACGTCTGGTCATTTAGCATGAGCTTACTGAGATGGAGAGAGGGTGATTATGGCCTATACGGAGCGATGAAGCCATACATAACACTGTTAACTCCCTCTGTGTGTGTGTGGTGTGTGTGAGGCCGCTCTGACGATGTTCCAAATCATAAAACTAAATGTTAAACCTCCATTCTGGTCAGCCTGTGATTGGCTCATAATACACAGAAACAAATTGACGGTCCTGTAGTTTTACATCTGACTACAGAGTCAATAGAGCATCTTGTTATTCTGAAACCATTTCCCAAGCAAATGATCTAGATATGGATGCCAACACCATCCTCTGTCACTCTTCTTTTATCATCACATATATCTTGGCTTATCATGATGGTTTTGCGCTGTAAATTGCTAAGCCGTAGCCTCTAAATGCACACAAGAGTCCACTTCAAGCACCAAGCAGCTGATTTCAGGATTCTCAATCTGAGTTAGCTATAACACCATGTAGTAATCTCTCGCCCTGGCAGGAATTCACTATTCTGTGCCTCCGTTTAAACCAAAATGGCAGCTCTTTGGATGAAGAAGAAGTGCTGTTGCTGAAGCTGACTGTTTACATGCCAGATGTCTGTCTGAGTTAGGAAGGCAATGCGAGTTATACATCAGTCAGGAAACGGTTCGACCCATCAACGGCGACCAGGATGCGTGTGTGTGTGCAGAGATGATGCATCTCCAGGGAACCATTTGAGACTGTTAGAGCACTATCAGATGAGCTGATGGGGGCGGGGGGGAGAGAAGAGGAGATATCTGTGTGTGTGTGTGTGTGTGTGTGTGCGTGCGTGCGTGTGTCACTGAGCCAAAGAGAGGAAGAGAACTGTTGTTACACATCCTGACACAGGCCAGATCCGATTGAGACACGTACCCAAGGGATGCGCTGTTCTTTTCTGGCTCTATGTGGAGAAATCCTTTGACTGGGGGTGAAGCTAACCACCTGAACTCTGTCACACATCTGCAGAGATCAGTCGCACAGATTCAGACACACCTGGCCCTATCTGTCTTACTTTGGTTCAAAAATCATTCTGTTGTGATATCGTAGTAAAAGCACACACAACTCAGAAGATTTGCAATGGATCCAGAGATCAAACACCTGGAGATAAATCTAGAAATCTGCCTTTTTTAACAATCCAACACAAGATTTG